CTGCTCGGGAGGCTGAGGCAGGAGAATTGCTTGAACCTGGGAGGTGAGGGCTGCAGTGAGCATAGATCACGCCTCTGCACTCCAGCCAGGGAGACAGAGAAAGACTCTGTCTCAAGAAGAAAAAATATATATATAGGGAGGGGAGCACTACACACGGGTCAGTTGGGGGGAAATAGGGGAGGGACGGTGGGGGGTGGGGAGCTGGGGAAAGATAGCAAGGGGAGAGATGCCAGATGTAGGTGATGGAGAGGAAGGCAGCAAATCACACTGCCACGTGTGCACCTATGCAACGATCTTGCATGTTCCTCACATGTACCCCAAAACCTAAAATGCAATAAAATAAATAAATGGGAAAAAAATAAAAATAGTTTAAATGAAATGCTATGCGTCACCTAAGGCAGGAGATAGACAAGAGTCTTCATTGTCTTCTTACTGCTTCTACCTTTATTCTGAGCTCTGAACATACGAACTTGCTCAATAACCTCATCCTAAAAATAAAACCCCCATCCCTACACCATACTGATTTCCTTACCCACCCCTGAGGTTTTCATTGTTTTTTACAGCCCTGGTTCTCTTCTTGGTCCTCCAACCCCTTTAGAAGATTGTGTAGTGTGGTAAGGCAAATGTTTAGTTTAAATTACATGTATTTAGATAGCGTTTCGATATGACAATCTGAAATTAATTCTTTTAAACTTCGCTTCTTAATTTCATTGCCTAAGTTGAGAGTCTTTGTCTTCTGTGTTTTGTTTCAATTTCTATGTATCCAGGTGGTTTATGTTGACCTAGAGGGGGAGAAAAACTAGAATATTTTAATTGTTCCGTGGTTAGGATGTAAGCTTTTTAACATGTGCTCAAAAAGTATTTTTCCATTTGCCAATGGTCAATATTGTCCCTAAATACTGGAATGTGTAGAAAAACTTAATTTCTTGCCACGGTTCTATTTTAAGCAACACAGCACATCAACTTCAGTGTTCCATCATCAGTAACACGTGGACCTGCTCTTTTGGTCTTCCATGGATGGGTAGTGGTAAGAACACTCAATTGTCTCGGTGAGATTCATTTGTGTCTACTTAGCTTCTATTAAAATGACTTTTTAATGGGTTGTACTTTTTAGTATTAATTTGGTGATTTGGGGTTTTTGTTTTTTTGACAGTCTCCCTCTGTTGCCCAGGCTGGAGTGCAGTGGCAATTTCAGATCCCCGATCTCGGCTCACTGTAACCTCCATCTCCCAGGTCCAGGCAATTCTCCTGCCTCAACCTCCCAAGTAGCTGAAATTACAGGCACCCACCACCACACCCAGCTAAGTTTGTATTTTTGGTAGAGACGGGTTTCACCATGTTGGCCAGGCTGGTCTCAAACTCCTGATCTCAGTTGATGCGCCTGCCTCGGCCTCCCGAAGTGCTGGCATGACAGGTCTGAGCCGTGCGTCTGGCCTTTTTCAGTATTACTTTGAAAGAGCTGCAATACGAGAAGGTCTGGAGTGAAGTGAGTCCTTCTCTGCCCCACTGGGTGTCTCCTCCCTATTTTCTGCTCATCACCCAAAGATGTTCTGTGCACGTGTGTGGTGTTAAGCGCCTTCCAGATGGGGGCGCTTTTCTGCGCTGATTGTCAGGCCTTTTTAAGGATGCAGGGTACTTTGGTGCGTAAATTAATGCACCTGTTATTAATCGACTCCTACATGGTCTTCAGTCTCGCTGTTTTGAGCAAGGCTGGGTGTAATATTTGTGTTTAAAATGAATCCATATTGCCAGAGTACTCTTCAAAAAGATGGCACCCATTTACACTTCGGCTAACGTAGAAGCACTTTTTCCTTCACCCATAGCACAGCAGGGTCCAGGCAACCATGGTGGGCATCAGCCTCACATGTCAAACGTGGTGCATCATTTTGGCTCTTATTTATATTATCAGTAATTGTTTTTTTAAGTATATTTAAAAGTCATGCTGTTTGGTTTGGTTTTGTTTTTTTGAGACGGCATCTTACTCTCTAACCCAGGCTGCAGGGCAGTGGTGTGTGCTTGGCTCACTGCAACCTCCTCCTAGGTTTAAGAAATTCTCCTGCCTCAGCCTCCAGAGTAGCTGGGATTAAAGGTGTGCACTATCACGCCCTGCTAACTTTTGTATTTTTGGTAGAGAAAGGGTTTCACCATGTTGGCCAGGGTGGTCTTGAACGCCTGACTTCAGGTGATCCACCTGCCTTAGGCTTTTAAATTGCTGGGATTACAAATGTTTTATGCAGTTTCTTAATTCTTCATCATTTTCATAGGCTGGGCACAGTGGCTTATGCCTGTAATCCCAGCACAGATCATGTGAGGTCAGATGATCAATTCCAGCCTGATCAACATGGCAAAACCCCGTTTCTACTAAAAATGCAAAAACTAGCTAAGTGTGGTTGTGGGCGTCTGTAATCCTAGCTACTGTGGAGGTGGAGGCAGGAGAATCACTTGAACCTGTGAGGTGGAGGTTGCAGTGAGCCGAGATCACACTACTGTACTCTAGCCTGGGCAACAAGAGCAGAATTCCATCACAAAAAAAAACCTTTTAATATGCTGAGCTATTGATCATGGGTTGGGAGAGCTCTTTATTTAAAGTAATGCATTCTTTGTCATAGTCTCAAATTTATTTGTAGCAGTTTTTTTTAGGGGGACTTTAAAGTTTTGTTTTTCTTGAGTGGGGAGGGTACTGCATTGAATTAATCGGTCATCATGTGTCATTTATACCATTCACCTGAGACCTCCAATTCCATTTGCTCACTGGGGGCTAAATGGAGGGATTAACATAAATATTTCAAATTTTAGCACATCTGTGTGAGGCCCCAGGAAACGGTGACCTTCTTTCTTAGAATGTAAAAGTCCAGCCTAAACATCAGGAGAGTGAATATAATTCTTTTTAGAATTCTGTTGTCTTGTTTTGGCTTTTTATAGAAAAGTTACTGAGCTTCTTGTCCTCTTAAAAAAATATCATCAGGCAGCAAATCACACTGCCACGTGTGTTCCTATGCAACAATTTTGCATGTTCTTCACATGTACCCCAAAACCTAAAATGCAATAAAATAAATAAATGGGGAAAAAAATATCAGGACTTCTTGGATGATACTACCCTGATGGAGGATCATTGATGTGTTGGAAATCTGCTTTCTGTCTCACCATGTCAAGGTTTTTATCTAACAGAAGCCTTTTAAAGCTGTCAAAGCAGATACACTGCTTTGCTAAATTCTATACACTTTTTTTTTTTAACCTTTTGCTGCTGTTCATCTGATCTCATGTTTTTTAACTGGTTATTTAGTGTGGGATTTTATAGCTAAAATTATTACTAGCCCAATTTAATAACTGCATATAATTTAAATAGTTCAAGTAATTTCTTTATTAGGCATACATATAGGTAATATAAATAATGGAACATCAGGTATAAAGAAGAGAGTACAAAACTGAACAGAAGTGCTGACAGCTAACATTCTTTAACTTTTAGTTTTGGGGGTACATGTGAAGGCTTGTTAGATAGGTAAACTTGTGTCATGGGGGTTGGCTGTACAGACTATTTTATCACCCAAGTGTTAAGCCCAGGACCCAGTAATTACTTTTTCTGCTCCCCTCCCTCCTCCTATCCTCCACCCTCAGGTAGACCCCAGTGGCTGTTTTCCCCTTTTTGTGTCCATGTGTTACTTAGCTCCCTCTTATAAGTGAGAACATGTGGTATTTGGTTTTCTGTTCCTGTCTTAGTTTGCTAAGGATGGTAGCCTTTAGCTCTATCCATGTTACCACAGAAGACATGATCTCATTCTTTTTTTATGGCTGCATAGTATTCCGTGGTGTGTATGTAGTATGTTTTCTTTATTCAATCTGTCATTGATGAGCATTTAGGTTGACTCCATGTCTTTGATATCGTGAACAGTGCTGCAGTGAACATTTATGTGCATGTGTCTTTATGGGAGAATGATTTGTGTTCATCTCTGTGTGTGTGTGTGTGTGTGTGTGTGTGTGTGTGTGTGTGTGTGTGTGTATACATATATACACACCCAGTAATGGGATTGTTGGGCCCAATGCTACTTGTGCTTTTAGCTCTTTGAGGAATCACCACACTGCTTTCCAGAATGGTTGAACTGATTTACACTCCCACTAAAAGTGTATAGGTGTTCCCTTTTTTCTGCAACCTCAAAAGCACCTGTTTTTGTTTTGTTCTATTCTTTAAGTTCTGGGGTACATGAGCAGATCGTGTAGGATTGTTACATAGGTATACACATGCCCGCACACGTATGTTCACTGTGGCACTATTGACAATAGCAAAGACTTGGAAGCATCTGTTTTTAATAATAGCTAACCTTCTTTTTTTAATTTTTGAGATGGAGTCTTGCCCTGTCACCCAGGCTGGAGTGCAGTGGCGCGATCTCCACCTCCTGGCTTCAGGCAATTCTCCTGCCTCAACCTCCCAAGTAGCTGAGACTAACAGGCATATACCACTGTGCCTGGCTAATTATTTTTTTTGTATTTGTAGTTGAGACAGGGTTTCACCATGTTAGCCAGGCTGGTCTCAAACTCCTAACTTTGTGATCCACCTACCTCAGCCTTCCAAAGTGTTGGGATTACAGGCGTGAGCCACTGACCCAGCCGATGACAGCTAACATTTTCATGGGATTCTCTGTAGGGCTTGTGTGTCAAATCCAGCCCATTGCCCATTTTGTAATAAAGATTTATTAGAACACAACTTTTCTCCTTTGTTGACACATTGTCTACAACTACTTTCACACCACAGCAGCAGCTAAGTAGTGGTCGCAGAGCAAATGGTCCCCAAAGCCTAAGATATGTGGCTCCTTTTGGGAGATTTGCTGATCTCTAATCTTTGTCAAATATAGATCTATTTGCTGCAGTTTTTCCTTTATTTTAATTGACATATAATGGTACATATTGAGGGAGAGTGGTATTTTGATACTCATATAAAATGTGTCATGATCAAATCAGGATACTTAGCATATTCATTACCCCAAACATCTGTGTTGTGAACACTGTCCTCTGTTCTAGCTTTTTGAGAATAGACAAGGCCGGGCATGGTGGCTCGTGCCTGTAATCCCAGCACTTTGGGAGGCTGAGGTGGGTGGATCACCTGAGGTCGGGAGTTTGAGACCAGCCTGACCAACACGGAGAAACCCTGACTCTACAAAAAATACAAAATTAGCCAGGTGTGGTGTCCTGTGCCTGTAATCCCAGCTACTGGGGAGACTGAGGCAGGAGAATCACTTGAACCCAGGAGGCGGAGGCTGCAGTGAGCTGAGATCGCGCCATTGCACTCCAGCCTGGGCAACAAGAGCAAAACTCCATCTCAAAAAAAGACAGTAAGTCAACCATATTCACCTACAGTGCTGCAGAACACCTGCATTCATTTCTCCTGCCTACCTGTAATCTGTTTCCATGAAGCATCCCCCCCTTCCTCCCCGGCCCCTAATACCCACAATTCTATCCCCTCATTCTGTGCGTGGCCCATTTGCTCAGTTTCACTCATACCCACATGTGAGTAAAAACACATAGTATTTAGTTTTCTGTGCCTGGTTTATTTTGTCTCCCACAGTGAACTGTAGGCTCATCCATGTTGCCACATGTGGCAGGATATTTTGAAGGCTGAGTGTTCCCTTGTGTACCACGTTTTCTCTTTCCATTTGTCTGTTGAACACTTAGGTGGACTACACGTCTCAGCTACTATGAATAGAGGGATGGTGCACACAGAAGCACAGACATGCCTTTGACATGCTTGGGGTGAATGACCAGATTGCTGGATCATAAGGTATTAATAATTCTATTTGCAGTTTCTTGAGAAACCTCTACACTGTTTTCCATAGTGGCTGTCCTGTTACATTTCCACGAACAGTGGAAAGAAGTTTTTCCTCTGCGTCCTTGCCAGCATTTATTTTTCGTGTTTTTTCATAATAGCCATTCTAACTGGAGGGAAATGCAAATTGCAGCCACAGTGAGATTGTGGTATGAGTAATGTCGGATTTGTTCGCATGTCTGTTGGCCATTTGTGTGTCTTTTGAGAAATGTCTGTTCAGGTTTTTGCCCACTTTTTAAATGGCTTAGTGGGAATTTTGCTATATAGTTCGTCGGGTTCCTTGTATATTCTGGGTATTAGGCCTTTGCCAGATTATTCTTTTGCAAATATTTTGTCCCATTCTGCAGGTTTGTTTGTTTGAGACGGAGTCTCACTCTGTTGGCCAGGCAGGAGTGCAGTGGCACCATTTCGGCTCACTGAAACCTCTGCCTCCTGAGTAGCTGGGATTACAGGAATGCACCACCATGACCAGCTAATTTTTATATTTTTAGTAGAGACAGGGTTTCACCATGTTGGTCAGGCTGGTCTTGAACTCCTGACCTCAGGTGATCCACCCGCCTCAGCCTCCCAAAGTGCTGGGATTACAGGCATGAGCCGCCACGTCTGTTTACATGTTGCCATCATTGTTCTGACTTAGGTTTCTTCTGGGTTTTACTATAAAGCGATGTTGAATTAAAGTCTCGTTCTGCATGCCTTGATGATTATGTGGTCTTCGTTCTTAATTCTGCTGATATGGTGTATTACATTTATTGATGTACACATGAGGAACCATCCTTGCATCCCGGAGATGAATCCCCCTTGATTATGGTGAATGATCTTCTTGATGTAATCTTAGATTTGGTTTGCTAGAATTTCGTTGAAGATTTTTGTATCTATGTTCATGAGAGATACTGGCCTCTAGTTTTCTTTTCTGCGTGTCCTTGTCTGGTTTTGGTGTAAGGACAGTGCTTGGCTCATAGAATGAGTTAGGAAGAATTCTTTCCCCTTCAGCTCTCGGAATAGTTGGAAGAATTGATGTAAGTTATTTTAAAAGTTTAAAAGGTGGCTGGGCGTGGTCATGCCTGTAATCCCAGCACTCTAGGAGGCTGAGGTAGACAGATCATTTGAGGACAGGAGTTGGAGACCAGTCTGGCCAACATGGTAAAACCTCATCTCTACCAAAAATACCAAAAACTTTGAATAAAATACCAAAAAATTAGCTGGGTGTGGTGGCAGACACTTGTAATCCCAGCTACTCAGGAGCCTGAGGCCGTAAGATCACTTGAGCCCAGGAGGCAGTGGTTGCAATGAGCTGAGATCGCATCACTGCACTCCAGCCTGGGTGACAGAGCGAGACTCTAACTTATTTAAAAAAAAAAAAAAAATCTAATTTGAAAGGTATCTAGTCCTAGTTTGTAAAGTGTTTCTGTTGATACTATTTATACATCCATTGAAGGTATATATTTTTTCTTTATTATGAGCGTTGGAGGTAGGGGCAAGAAGTACCATCTACTCTTAGAAATGCTTTTATCATAAAACAACCATGGTAGCACAGAATCAAACATCTTTTCCTGGAGGGTGGGTAGGTTAATGGAGACCTTGCCTCTTCCAGTGAAATTAAGTAGCATTCCAAAGATCTGATTAGATTTCTCTTATCTCTGTCCTGAATTTCAGACATTCTAAAATTATAAAAATAGAAGAAACCTGGTGTGGTAGTCTGCACCTGTAGTCCCAGCTACTTGGGAATCTGAGGCGGAAAGATCACTTGGGCCCAGTTCAAGGCTGTGGAGAGCTGTGAAAGTCTTCGTACTCCAGCCTGGGGCGGAGTGGGACCTGTCTTTAAAAATAGACATATATGAGGCCGGGTGTGGTGGCTCATGCCTGTAATCCCAGCACTTCGGGAGGCCAAGGTGAGTGGATCACAAGGTCAGGAGTTTGAGACCAGCCTGATCAACATAGTGAAACCCCATCTCTACTAAAAATATAAAAAATTAGTGGGGCATGGTGACAGGTGGTATTTGGTATTTTGGTACTCGGGAGGCTGAGACAGGAGAACCACTGAATCTGGGATGTAGAGGTTGTAGTAAGCCAAGATTGTGCCATTGCACCCCAGCCTGGGTGACAGTGTAAGACTCTGTCTCCAAAAAATATATATACATATACACACACACACACACACACACACACACACACACACACACACACACGAATACTTTACCCTCACCTGCACCTTCACAAATTGAAGCAAATCCTAAATCCACATTTATTTTTAATTGACAATAATTGTGTATATTTGCGGGGTACAATGTGATGTTTTGATATATGTATACCTTGCAGAAAAAAAGCTAACATGTCCATCACCTCAGTTACTTTTTGCGGTGAGAATGTTTAAAATCTACTTTGAGCCACTTTGGAGCATAGATTAATAATACGTCTTTTCTTGAATTCCACGGCAGATTAGATGCAGCATTATTAACTCGGTCACCATGCTGTATAGGAGATCCCAAAACTCATTTCTCTGATCTCACTGAAACATGTTTGTGCCTTTTCACCAACACTGTTTCCCCATATTTTTCCCCAGTCTCTGGCAACCACCTTTCTACTCTCTGCTGCTATGAATTTGATTGTGTTAGAATCCACACAATTGAGATCCTAAATCTAAACACGATCCCAGTAGCCTCTTAAACCTGGGTGCTTGTTACGTAACAGACTCTTCTGCTCAGGAGGTCTGGGTCTGGCAGGAGCTTTCGCGTAGTTGGTGGTCAGGGTCCACATGCATGCTCTGTGCCAGCCCTTCTGACCGGCTCACTTGTCGCCTTACTGAAACCCCACGATAACCCTTGAAGAGGTAGATTCTCTGATTTCCAGCTTCCAGAGGAGAGATCCCATCCTTAGATGTTGAGTTACTTTCCATGGGGATGTATCACAAAGGTTGTGGAAGGGCTTGAGCTTGGAGCTGCCACTCAGCTCTGAGAATCGCCACAGGAGTCTACAGCCTCTTAGAATTGAGTCACCTGTGAGGAAACTGACCCTGGGCCTCGGTACCATGACACATGGACCTAATCCCCTGCCCTCGCTGCTGTCTGCTGCAGTGTTACTAGCAATGCATTGGAGCAGAACTCTACTGGGGTAGAAAGAAAATGAAGCCAGGCAGGAAAAAGCCATCTTAGCCTCTCCAGGAAGTTGGTCAACCCACGGCAGTTGTGCAGGGAATACCACTTTTCAGCTCTTTTTAGAGACCCTTCCTATAGAGAAGTTATTTGTGATAACCTGTTTCCTATATCCCAGGAAACAGTTGTGCCCACGTATGTCACCTCATCTTTTAAATTGTATTAAATTACTGAGTCAGAACAGGGCTAGAAATACTCGCACTTGGCTGGGCACAGTAGCACATGCCTACAATCCCAACACTTGGGGAGGCCAGGGCAAGAGGATCACTTGAGCCCAGGAGTTTGAAGCCAGCCTGAGCAACATAGTGAGAACTTGTCTCTACTTTATTTAAAAAAAAAAAAAACGTGCAGTACAAGCCCATGGCTCCTGCTACTAGGAAGGCTGAGGCGAGAAGATTGCTTCAACCCAGGAGTTCAAGGCTGCAGTGAACCGTGACTATGCCACTGTACTCCAGCCTGGGCAACAGAGCAAGACTGAGTCAAAACAAAACAAAACAAAAACAAAACTTGAGGCCGGGCGTGGTGGCTCACGCCTGTATTCCCAGCACTTTGGGAGGCTGAGGTAGGCGGATCGCAAGGTCAGGAGTTCGGGACCAGCCTGGTCAACATAGTAAAACCACGTCTCTACTAAAACTACAAAAATTAGCTGGGCGTGGTAGTGCATGCCTGTAATCCTAACTACTCAGGAGGCTGAGATGGGAGAATCACTTGAACCTGGGAGGTGGAGGCTGTGGTGAGTGGAGATGGCACCATTGCCCTCCAGCCCAGTGGCAGAGTGAGATTCAAAAAATAAACGAACTTGAGCTTATTAAATAGATTTTAGCTATTATGGCATCCCTAAGGTCTTGTCTCCCAGGTTAATCCTTCTATAAATACTTTTGTGTAATTTATAATTTATCTTCTGACTCTGATGATTAAGTTAATCTTAGCCCATCTTAAAACTTTCCCATGGAAACAAGGGTAGGCAGAAGGAAAGACAGGTGGTAACGACTGGGGACAAGTTTGTACCTGCAGGTCCAAGGAGCGTAAACCAGGTGCCCTGTCTGAGGGAGCAAAACAACCGTCAGTGTTAACGGGACCTGCCCCTTGCAGGCTGATCTTTACCTTGGTGGGATGATGCCTCCAGTACCGGGGAGGTGACATGCCAGGGCCGCGCCATGTATCTGCAAGTCTAGCTCAAAAACTGCTGTAAATCCACAGACGTCACAAGGGTGGCCTCCCGCCAATAGTGCCCCTCAGAAAATGATAAGCTGCCGCCTACTTGAGCCTTTAAAACATTTCATTACACGGCCTTCCTTGAATTGCTTTGTCCTCTACCACCAGGTAATGGTTGGTGAAGACCAGATTTGTTCAAACTGACCGACTAGTACTGGTTGTTGCTATTTATAGAGCTTTTATGATGGTTAAAAAAGGAAATTTGAGAGATTTAGGAATTACTGCTGGGGCCTTGTAACAAGTGCTACATTTTGACGTCGTCATGGACCAGGATTGGAGAGCACTTTGAGAAGTATTCATAGCACAGGTCCTGAATGTGTACCTGTAAAACGAGTTGGCAGGCAGGGAGGGAGGAAGTCAGTCCTGACGGTGAGTTACAACGCTAACCTTTTCCTGTGGTCGTTAGCCATTTGCGTTGCACTCTGGAGAAATGGATGTTCAGACCCTTTGCCCATGTTAAACTGGGTTATTTGTCTCCCTGTTAATGTATTTATATTATCTAGATATAAGCCCCCTATCAGATATGACTTTCAAGTGTTAGTTTATTGTTACATCAAGACTGTTTAACTGTGTTTATGGAACTCAGCCTTTACAGGTGCAACAGAAATCAACTTAGCTAAGAACCCTGTAACTGATTATTAGTAATGGATAGGAATCTCTTTGCCAGGATTTTTTGTTTGCTTTTTGAGATGGAGTCTTGCTCGTGTTGTCCAAGCTGCAGTGCAATGGTGCAATCTCGCCTCGCTGCAACCTCTGCCTTCCGGGTTCAAGTGATTCTCCTGCCTCAGCTTCCCAAGGAACAGGGATTACAGGCATGCACCACCACGCCTGGCTAATTTTTTTTTTTTTTGTATTTTTAGTAGAGATGGGATTTCATCATGTTGGCCAGGCTGGTCTCGAATTCCTGACCTCAGGTGATCCACCTGCCTTAGCCTCCCAAAGTGCCGGGATTACAGGTGTGAGCCACTGCGCCTGGCCATTGCCGGCATTTGAGTATAATGTAGTGGCCAAGAGCATCTGTGACATGCATGTCAAATTTTATTCTAAGATGCTCTTTGGGAACTGAGGGTACAGACCACAAAATACCCAGCGCTGATGTTCCAGTAACAGGATAAACAGGTACTGTGGCAATCAATGTTTGTCCATGAAGAATTGAAAAGGAAGAGTGAAGTCTGTTCATTAGTGAGGTGATTGACATGAGTTGTATTAACTTGAGAATTTGCTGCAAACTCCTCTTCTGAGTCTTGACACTGTTTCCACAGATCCTACCTGCCCCATATTACCAAAGAATCCGCTTCCGCCACCAAACCCTGAATTTTCAGCCTCGTATCAACATGGAAGAAAACAAACTGCTCACCTTTTCCAGCTACGGACTGCAGTGGTGTCTTGATGAGCTAGACAAAGAAGAATTTCAGACATTTAAGAATTTGCTCAAGAAGATATCTTCAGAATCGACCACATGCACTATTCCACAGTCTGAAATAGAGAATGCCAATGTGGAATGCCTGGCACTCCTCTTGCATGAGTATTACGGAAGGTCGCTTGCCTGGTCCACATCCATTAGCATCTTTGAAACTATGAACCTGCGAACACTCTCCGAGAAAGCAAGGGATGACATGAAAAGTAAGTGCCACTTGAGGCAAGTCAAGGGCAGGGGAGGGGAGGTGGTTTCAGATTCTCGTGGGAACAGGGAAGGCTCATTGTTCTGTAGTCGGGTGGTCACACCTCTGCTGTGTGTCATCATCATTGGCTGGACATTGGTCCTAGCCTGTAAAATGAAGGAGGAGGGAGGAATGGGTAGACAACGACTCCACCCATGCGGACTCCCATTGGAGTTCAAAGGATTTGAAGTGTCTGTACTGAGCTTAAGCTCCAGAGTTAACACGGGTCAGTCGTCAGACGTTGGGAACGTCTCCTGTTCTGACCCTTGGTTCCCACATCTCGGAATAGGAAACGTGATACTGTATGTGCCACTGCAGAATTTCG